AGGTTAATAATGACAAATTTTCATCAAATATTTGTCTAATTGAGATAAATGGCTTGTATTCCCACTTCCATTCTTAAATTATTATTTAATTTATATAAGTAAGGCTTCAATAAGGACTTTCACAATAAACTCATATTTGTTAAAGCAGACCAATTATTAAATGTTTTTACTATTGTTAAATAAATGATCAAATCTTAATTTATCTAAGAAAAGTATTCAGGTAAATCCAAAAAATCATAAGGTGATAAAGTGAAGTATTATACCAATATACATTCACGGAAATAAGTGTTACATAAGATATTTCAAGGACCAGAGTTGATTACGTTGGGTCCTGGTGAAAATAGTCATTCATATCAAAGATTTTAAATTGAGGCAATGGATTTCTTTCAGTCACTGCTAAAGAAAATAGCTTGTCCAAAAACTGCCAGAGTCTTGGTTGTAATTTCACTAACTCAGAAATGTCACAAGCAAATCTTACTAACTACTCTCAATAAATGTGTTATCTAATATGATTAAACTATAAGAATTCCTGTTCCCCCAAACCAATACTAAAGAATACCCCAATAAATTTAGTAGATTTCTGAATATCATCTCATTCTTTTAACTGTCATTTTGAATTCTATGTTAAAAATTCAAAGAAGGTATAGATTATGATTCTCACAAATTACTTCACTTATATATTCCATTATATTTTGCTTTGATTTTAAAAATCCTGTGATCAGGGTGTCTGGGTGGCTCAGTCGGTTAAGTGTCTGCCTTCGGCTCAGGTCATGATCCCAGAGTCCTGGGATCGAGCCCTGGTTTGGGCTCCTTGCTCAGCGGGGAGACTGCTTCTCCCTCTCCTTCTGCGTGCTGCTCCCCCTGCTTGTGCATGCGCACTCTCTCTCTCAAGTGAATAAATAAAATCTTTTAAAAATAAATAATTAAAAATAAATAAATAAATAAATATCCTGTGATTATTACATACCATTGTAGATAATATTACAGTCATAAAAATAATGAATCCAGCTATCTTTCTACAATCAAGAAGGCTGATTCTGGTTAGAACAAGGAAGTGAGCTGATTTCCCACATTATACATGGCCAAATTAAAAAAAAACAAAACTGAAACAACTATTAGCAGAATATCTTTAAATTGGAAATGCAGAGATATGGAACTTTTTGGGCTTTAAATTTGAAAGAGAATTCAGCGGTCCCCTAGGTTAGTCTTCTATACAATGCAGGACTCCTTTCTTTAATAATAGAGGCTAGGTTACAGGGTGGTGGCCTAAGGACAATCTGCAGCCCATAAGTATAGTCTACATGACCTCCACAGCTTTTGTTTTGTTTTGTTTTAATTAAGCCAATGCACAAAAATCCAGATCTGTGCCTCGTCTTTAAAATCCACATGGAGCTGCATGTCTGCTGCCCTATTGGATGAGTCGTGCTTTCTCCACTTCTCCACTGCACTTCCCATCATTCCACTTCACTCACTCATCATCTGCCTTGTATTTTAAGCATCCAAGCATTTCAGTAAATGACCACTCACTGTATTCACTCTGTTGATGAACATCATCATGAAAGGGGAGGCAGCATACAACTTTGCAAGGTGACCAACTTCACTGTAGGCATCACTAAACATTAGAGAGAATTATCCAGAATAATTTCCAAACACAAACTGGTTTTATCCTCAAAAACAAAGTAAACTTATTATTCTCTCTTCCACAGAACAGGCTTCTAGGTATCTGAAGACAACCAACTTTCCTAGGTCTTCACTTCCAGTTTAACATCTCCAGAGCCCCCAAATATTCCTCATAGCAATGTATGCAAGCCTACCTATGGCCCCTGGGATGCTTCTCATCATGAATGAATTCTACTTATGATAAATATTCTATTTATTATGATTTTCCAACTCTTACTTGTGTGTTTATTATATATTCTAGTTATCAGTGTTCTTCACATGTAATATTGTAATATTTCCTTGATCTAGATCAATGGTTCTCAAACTTTTTGGCCTCAGGACCCGTTTTCACATTTAAAATTCATTGAAGATCCCAATGAGCTTCTGTTTAATAGAGTTTATCTATTGACAGTCACTGTATTAGCAGTTAAAACTAAAATTTATAAAAGTATATTTATTAGTTCATTTAAAACACATGTTAACATAATGGCATACTTCTATGAAATATTTCTTTGAAAAATAAACACATTTTCCAAAACAGCATTGTCTCCCTCCTTGCATCTAAATACAGAACTTAGGGGCGCCTGGTGGCTCAGTCATTAAGCGTCTGCCTTCGGCTCAGGTCATGATCCCAGGGTCCTGGGATCGAGCCCCGCATCGGGCTCCCTGCTTAGCGGGAAGCCTGCTTCTCCCTCTCCCACTCCCCCTGCTTGTGTTCCTGCTCTCACTATCTCTCTCTCTGTGTCAAATAAATAAATAAAATCTTAAAAAAAAAAAAGAGAACCTGCCTCTCCATTTAAATAAATAAATACATACATACATACATACAGAACTTAAATATATATTTTCCTGTAGATCCCGTTTTGTTGGTTTCACATTATTCTTTGGTAGTGGACACTGTTGATGCCCATTCTAGCTCCCCTTCAGACCAGTGCACCCACCTCCACTTAGCTGTTTTGATTGTTAGCTGATAACACACAGAATTACTCAGTAACACTGGAGCCACCTGGCTTGGGAAATTATGTGCACCTCCACTTCATCCAATGACTGAATGATAAGCCAGTAACTACCACAGAGTACAAAAGACCCATCCCAATGACACAAAGTGGAACTAATTCTGGGTGTAGTTTGTGCTCCAGAGCTTCCCATGGGATCAGACCCAAGTTCGTTTCTAGCGGAGACCACGTTCTTCCTTAGTTTTTATCCCTTGTCTTATTCTGCTTGTCACTCTCTTTCTTCTAAGAGCTCATCCATAACAAATCACTTGAACAGGCAACTCCATTTCAGGCTCTGCTTCTGGCAAACCCAACCTGAGACATCTTTCATCCCACCAAGATTATTGTAATATCAACTCTGTCATATATCATATTAACTAACTATCTCAGCTGTACAGCATCTCAAATATGCTAAGCATTCTATCATAGAGCAATGCAGTGGTTCTCAAAATGTGATCCCTGGACCAGCAGAAGCAGTAGTGTTCGGGAACTTGTTAGAACTGCAAACTCTGAGGCCCTATTCCAGACCTACTGAATCAAAAATGCCATCATAGAGATGTGCCATAATTAACCAATCCATTATTGTATACATTTCAGTAGTTTCCATTTCTTCCTAGTATAAATAATGTTGAGATGAATGCAGGTAAATCTCTGTGTACATTTCTAATTATTCTATGAGTATTTGTCTGCAATCTACTTCGAGGTAAAAGTATTAAATCAAAAAATAAGATGTACTGATAGATGAAGGACAGACATATAATAAAGCAAACACAGCAAATGTTAATGGTAGAATCTAGGTGATGAGTATATGGATATTGACTTCAAAATTTTTGCAACTTTTTCATGTTTGAAATTTTTTAGAAAATGTTTAAAACGAAAAATGTTGAAGAGATTTCTATTTTATGAGGTTAATTCCTAGAACTGGAATAAATTGTTCATAGTATGTGCCCATCTTTATACTGTGTGAAGTTAAAACATCAACCAAAAAGTGTCAGTTCCCTCACTGTCAACACCACTTTTTAGTGCTTTTCAATCTCTGCCAACTTGTTAGGCATAAACTGGTAATTCATCTTTTAAATCACCATTTTCATGTGCATTTTTTAAGTTAATATATAATGAATTGAAAAGCTTCCTAACATGCTTGGCCTCAGATTTGATGTTGGCTATTTGAACTATGAAACAGTAACCAGGATTTGAGTTGCCACCCAGGGGCACTTAGCTTATTACCAAACACAATACCCTCAAGAATAACTTGCAAACTGAATTACATTGGCAAGAGTTACTTTAGGCCAGTGTCATATATGGGGGGGGGGAGCTAATGCTGGATTGCCAAATGGGACTGATTTAACAGGTCCTGAGAAAGGGCTCTTCCTTCACAAGAAAAGTGTCCTCTCCCACTTACCAGGATGCTCAGAATTCCAAGCATTAGTATTTTCTTCCTTTGTGTTGAAACAATTAGATCTCCACCAATTCCATTTTAGAATTCAAGTATTTTACTTCAGAATGGGCTCTACAAAATTATGGTGATTATATCCATAGGATGGAATGCAATGAAGCCATTTAAAAAGAACTATGGAATTCTACATTTGCTGACATGGAAAGATCTCCATGATATATGACTTGTTCATTGCAAAAAAAGAAAAGTATGTATGTTTCTATATAATAGAAAATGTGTGGAAGGATATTTACTAAAATATTAAAAGTGGCTATCTCCAGTTAAAGGACATATGGGAGTTTTTATACTCTTTATATATGTCTTTATTGTTTACTTTTGCAATGGATATATTAAAATTTCCTTACTAACAATAACAATACAAGAAGGCTATTTGCATTTTGATAAAAATAAAATTGAAAGTATCCCAGAAAACCACTAAGCCATTATCACCTTATTAAAATTTAATTTACCAAGATTTTCAAGTCAAGGTTGAAGTCCCCTAAGGAATAAGACCCAGGTCCAGCATATTTTAAAGGGCATAGGAGGAAACAGTTAAAGGCAGACAGACTAGGCAGAAGTCTCCAGCCATGTATTAATCAGCTGAGGGACAGATCTGTGTTGTCCTGGGAGGATTTCACTGGAGAAAAATCAACAGGCAACGGAAGGCAACAGTGGTCTTCAGATCCACAGTCTGTATTGACTCAGAGTGGATCTTAGCTTTACCACAATTCCTGCTTTCAATATTATAGAAGAAAATACCCCCTAACCAATGATGTTCAATTCTCCCCCTAGAGCAGGCCCAGGATCCAATGCCAGTCATTTTTTTCAAATATATATTTAACAGATTTAAATTGCTTCATTTATACTTCACAAAGACTGGAAAGGAGAATATGATACAGTAAACCACTTACCTCCGTGGGAAGACATGTCTGTACATGGGCAGATGTTCCCAGATGTGACACCACTGTCCCAGGTTTAATTTGAAAATATGTTTTGCACATGTAGCCTTCAGAACAATCCTGTGTTCCACATGAAGAATACATAAGAAAATGCCAATTATTTTTAGAATTCATCATATTAAGAACTACGGTTTCTCATAAATTTCAAACTGAGTAATAAAAAACTAAGTATATTAAATGATATGAGATATAATATGGATAAAGAAACTCATCTGATAAACCCTGCACATAGTAGGTACTCATTGAATAGCAGTTTTAATCCCCTACCTTTCTTACTTATTAATGGTGTTTCCCCTTCTCTTAGGTATCCCCCCTCCTTTTTCTTCCAAGCAGTTCATAGCACATAAGTCATGGGGCAAAACCTCAGGTTTGCAGCTGTTAAGAAGCATTTAAACTGGGGTGCCTGGGTGGCTCAGATGGTTAAGCGTCTGCCTTCAGCTCAGGTCATGATCCCAGGGTCCTGGGATCGAGTCCCGCATCGGACTCCCTGCTCAGCGGGGGGCCTACTTCTCCCCTCCCTCTGCTTCTCCCCCTGCTCATATTCTCTCTCTCTCTCTGTATCTCTGTGTCTCGAATGAATAAATAAAAAAACCTTTAAAAAAAAAAAAAAGAAGCATTTAAACTTATAGAAATACTTTGTCACATATTAATATTGATTTCATGGCCTATATAGAAAGAGAGATTTAAAGAGGACTTGCAACAGATCTTGAAGCTAAAAGGGACTTTCCATTTTAATTTCTTGTTCAAGGCAAGATCTCCATTACAACATCACACGGAGGTAACTGTGCAGCACCTGCCTAAGCACTTACAGGAACCTTTGCTTTACCCCTTTATATGACCACCACCTCCATTTTGGTACATGGTACATAGTTCAATGAGAAAATATTATCTTATATTGCACTGAAATGTTTCTCTTTAACCTTAACTCACTGGTTTTAGTTCTGTCCTCCAGAGTCTAAACTCTTGTCCACAAAGCCATTTTTCATAGATTTGAAGACAATTAGCACCATTTTCAAATGTTCCATAGAAGATATGATTTCCGAGCCTTTCACCAGTTGTATTTCTCACTTCTTTCCTATACTTGCTCTTAAATACACTTATGTTTATCTAATTGTGGTCAGTTCCATTTTTTAAAAAGCAAAACTTGGTTGAATTCAATAAAGTCATGTATAAAAATATAATACTTCCTCATACACATACTCACATATTAATGAATATTATTAATTCTCCACGAAATTGTCACTGTTAACACTCAAATTTTAACAGAATTTAAATAGTTATAACTAAGGAAATGTGATTATTTAATCTGATGCAGTAACAAAAGTACAGAATAGCATTCCAACTAAAACCATTCATAACTCACTTAAATAATTTTACTAAGATTCAAAAATTCAGTTTTTAACTACACAATAAGAAAAGAAAAATTTTATAGTGTTTGTGAGTGATTTAATATTGAATTTATTTTTTTTAATTCGTGTCATGCCAGGGCACCTGGGTGTCACAGTCGGTTAAGCGTCTGACTCCTGGTTTCGGCTCAGGTCATGATCTCGGGGATGGTGAGACCAAGCCCTGTGTCAGGCTCTGTGCTCAGCATGGAATCTGCTTAAGACTCTCTCTCCCTCTCCCTCAGCCCCTCCCTCCTGCTCACTCTTTCTCTAAAATTAATAAATAAATCTTTAAAAAAATTGTCTCATGCCAACTATGTAAGAGCATTGGATTTTAGGTAACTGTACTGGGTTGAATAATGTCCCTTCACAACTCATGTCCCCCTGGAACCTGTGAATGTGACCTTATTTGGGAAACAGGGTCTATGCAAATGTAATAAAGTGAAGATGAGGTCATACTGGGATAGGGTAGACCCTGAATCCAATATGAGTAATTTCCTTTTAAGAGGAAAATTTGGCTACAGAGACACAAACACACAAGGGAGAAGGCCAGGGGAAGATAGAAGCACAGACTGAAGTGGTGCATCTATAAGACAAAGAATGCCAACAATGGCCACCAACCACCAGAAGCTAGAAGAGGCAAAGAAAAGTTCTTCTCTAGAGCCTTTAGAGGGAGCATGGCCCCGTAGACACCTTGATTTTCAACTCCCAACCTCCAGAACTGGAAGAGAATAAATTTGTTTTAAGTCATTCAGTTCATGGCACTTTCTTATGGTAGCTCTAGGAAACTAATACAGGAACTACATTTTCTAAGAACTCTGGCAGCACCTTTACAATGCCTCCCAGTTAACTGGGCTGACATCCCACCAGCACTCACCAAAGAACCCTGCTGGTTGGTCCTGATCAGTACCAGTTCTACTGGCTGGACCCAACTTATTCTGATTGGTTGATGCCCCTGCCACAGATTGTTAAATATTTAAATACCCTTCCTCCCTGTAACGTAAGCTATCGGGTAACCAATACTATCACCTTTAAAAGTATTTTATTTTGGGCGCCTGGGTGGCTCAGCCATTAAGTGTCTGCCTTCAGCTCAGGTCATGATCCCAGGGTCCTGGGATCGAGCCCCACATCGGGCTCCCTGCTCCGCGGGAAGCCTGCTTCTCCCTCTCCCACTCCCCCTGCTTGTGTTCCCTCTCTCACTATGTCTCTCTCTGTCAAATAAATAAAATCTTTAAAAAAAAAAATAAAAGTATCTTATTTTATTTATTTATTTGAGAGAGAGAGCACAAGAGCTTGAGCAGGAGGAGGGGCAGAGGGGGAGGGAGAGAATCTCAAGCAGACTCTGTCCCAGAGTGGAACCCATGGGAGTTTCAGTCTCACAACATCCAGAACATGACCCAAGCAGAAACCAAGAGTCCCACGCTCAACTGACTGAGCCACCCAGGCACCCCAATACGATACATTTTGTAGATGGAATTATTGTTTTAAATTCTAGCTCTGCATCATCCAAATGCAAAGCATACCTGAGGGCCCTCAACCACTGAAATCTTTGTATCTAGACAACATAAATGACTTTTAATATTGGCTTAAACTGAGAAAGATATATGTAGGGATTGTAGTTGTTGCTGTTGCTTTTTACACCGGGTATCTATTTCCGCTTCTTCTGAAACAGTAGCTAATTTTCTTCTAAGGAATCATTCCCTTCCCCCTATCAGTGTGGACATGGCCCCCTACTACAGGAATGATCATAATACTCTGAACTGGCCAGTAAGAGCATCAGTCCTGCTGGCCTCAGAGACTCAGGACGGTAAAAAAATCTACTCAGGGCCAATGAAACACAGTTCAGGACTTGGATTAGGGGATAGGGGAGGATATTCTCTTTTCTACTGGATTTGAACCAGGAAGATAAAGCCTTGGCATTTTTGGCCGCCATCATGTAATCAAATGGAGCCTGAGAATGAAGCCAGTGCAGAAAGCAGTGCATGAGATGCAGAAAGACCAGATCTTGATGACACTGTTCACACCAACCATACCTAAAGCTAGTTCCACGCTCAAATTTTTCAGTTACATGGCCCCAAAAAGTCCTTTCTTGACTTCACCCAATTTGGATTGGGTTTTCTGTCACTTGCAACTAAAATAATCTTTCTATAAAATGACCTATGTTATTTTATTAGTTTAAAACTAGATGAGATTTTCCTACTGTTGAGAATGAGCCTCCTATGACCACAGAAAGAGTCTCTTAAACAATAAAATAGTTTGACTCGAATGAATAAACAAACTACATGATTTCTACTGTATTATATGATTACTTTCATTATAATAGATAATCAATAGCTGATTATATAGAAGATTTGCCAAATATAGTAAAGCCATAAAGGTAGGTGATTGTGAGACAAAAAGTAAAAACAGTCTGCAATTTAAAAATAATCTAGCTATAGAGGAAAAAAAACCTCAGGATATTCAGAGAAGAGTTAGAACTAAACTGTGTACTGAATCTGATTCATCAAATTAGAGCAACTATTCTATTTCATGAGCACTGATCATACAACTTCTTCTTAAGGCAAACTATAATTTAGTAAAACCCTAATTACAAGGCAAAATACACTTCCTTTGACATCAAGAGGTTAAGTCCAAAATTCCTATGCACCTATGTTATAAAATCTAAATGTATTATCTGATCTCTTTTCCAATGAATTAAGATAGAGAAATATGTCATTTTTAATATTACTTATAATTTAAGGGATTTTATTTCTATTTTAGGTAATTTCTGATGCTACTTATTAGTGTCTATAGGGAAATGCACAAGGGTTTTTGACTCAGCCTCTATCTGGTCACAGTAATTTTCTTTTTGGTATCAATCTCTCAACAGTCAAAATTAGCCTTGAAAAATTAAAAATAGAAAAAAAAAAAGTTTATAGCAACTTAGCTTCCTTTCAAACATTTACTTCCATGAAAGTAGGCCTTTCTCCTACACTGTTTTAATTTAAGGCAGAAAAATATGTTTTGTTCTTCACTGTTTTGAAGGTTGTTTTTGTAGAAACAAGCAAACATAAAAGCATGAGAACTGCCCCCTGAACTAGCACTACAGTCCATCTGGCCCAATAAATGATAATTGACTCAAATCTCGACTGACTTTTCTGGTAGACTCTCAACTCTAGCTTCCCTGCATTCTTTCTGTACTTATGATAGCTTACAATTCAACGTTGTTTTCTTTCATTTTGGGGGGCGCCTGGGTGGCTCAGTCGGTTAAGTGTCTGCCTTCAGCGTAGGTCCTGATCGGGATCAAGCCCCATGTCAGGCTGCCCGCTCAGTGGGGAGTCTGCTTTTCTCTCTCCCTCTGTCCCTCCCACCACTTGTGCTCTCTCCCTGTCTCTCAAATAAATAAAATCTTTTAAAAAAAAAAGTTTTCTTTAATTTTTTAACATGTGTTAGTTTTATTTCCCCCAATCAATCCAAAGTTAGGGCCTAGGCCCCAGGCTCTGGGGAAGAAAGGGTCCTAACTACAGAGTCTAGTTCCACATAAAAACCTGGTCCCTGGTCCCTGGTCCCTAGTCCCTGAAAACACCCTGGACCAGAACAGGAGAGGTAGGAACAAGGGGAACCTTACAATTTATCCAGTTCAACCCTCTCGTTTTAGAGATAAGAGGGTGAAGGACTGACGTACTTTTTTTTTTT